TGAAGCTTATATTGTAGACATATGTTACATAAATATACAGTATATCTGTCCCACAGCCTGTCACTATATGTTGATATAATTTGCAGTCGGGTCCAAAAATCTGAAGAAGAATGTGAAGTTAGACATTTTTAACATTAATGAGAAATTAATAAGAAAATATATATAAACATATAGATTTTAAGCATGTATGTTGTTTTAATAAACTTGCATAAATAAATTAAAGATACAATGTTATCACGTTAACACATAATTTTTTTTACAAGAAAACATGTTCTATGTAAAAAATCATCACATAGATATTTTTAATATATACACATATACAAATCTTACTATGGGTATTTTATATCTTAAACTTATCCTCATATATCCAGAGGATGTATATATGTGATAATAATATATCCACTTATAGTTATATATTACATTTCTCTATGGGTGGATTACTGTGATACTGAAGGAAACTTAAGAACAGGAGGATTCTGAATGGAGTTAAGCAGATATAAAGAGTCTTTTTCTATGGTTTTTAAAGAGATTTATGGAGGCTTGTTTGCAGTCGACATCAGATATAATTGCATCCCCAGGAAGTGTAAGTCACACTGAATCTAAAAATGTATGTTTCATGTGTGAATGGGCAGATTTGACTGAGTCATAACTTTGATTTTTGACTGAAGTTGCTGCAGATGAAGAACTGTTGATCATGTAGAAAAAAAACTACCATAAAGTTGTTTTGCGTATACTTGTATGCACCTGTCTCTCTCACACAGTATCTTTGCTTCACATCTCTCCCACAGTTGTAGGTGGAAAACAAAAACAACCTGCCAGTTGAAGAAAAAGTGGCCCAGTTGGTCAAAAAACCTCCCAGTCTCTTCAACACCAGACCTGTTTGAACCTATTTGAAGAAAAGAATCAAAGAGGTGTGGAACCAGGTTTCTGAGCTCTCTTCAGCCTCGGGCCAACTCTCCTGACCTTGAAGCTCCTCTGATGACAGAACAATCACACGCCTGCTGGGGAATTAGTTCAAAGTTTTGGTAAAGGGTGTGTAGGAACAGAAACTCCTTCCTGTTCTCCGGCTGATCCCTTTTAATTGTGCCGATTCCCTGTCTCTGTGCGTGCCAGGCCCTTTCCGGCTGAGAGTCTGGGGTGTGTTTAGGGGGATGACACTGCCACTGTGTTACACCTCTGGTCACTCAGCTGGTCACTGTGTTACAGGAAGGGAAGGGAGGGTCGGGATTTCCCCTCTGAACCCTGCTCACAGAGTCCGAGCCAATACACAACAGTCTGAGAAACACAGAATCAGTGTTGATTCATTCGGCCACAGCTCAGAAAGAGGTTCAATTCCTTGTCATTTACCTCCAGCAAAGAGGTAAATACTTCAAAATAGGCCTCTTTACAACAGAAGAACTGTAGGGCCAAAATGCATGTATGAGACATAATTTGAAAGTTAACATCTTCTGGTTTCTGAAAAAACAGTGCTTGTTTAGCATGAGACTAAAACACAATCTAAACTACATCAGTTCATACATGACTAAAAAATGTGTTGGTTTTTTTTTTGTCCTTGTCTGAAAACAAAATCAAATTTGATAACAATAACTATGATATACTTTATGCAAGAAATATAAAAATCCTCACATCCGTTCTACATCTTGTCAAAAACAACTGTGTGAAATTTCAGGCCTCTGTGCAAACATTAAGGGAGCATTTTACATCATTCAAAACAGACCTGATCTTTTGTTTCTCACTCATTTCTGCCTGCTGCCTCTCAACTTTTCATAGCCAATCAGCATCGGCTCTTGCCTACTCTCATTGGACAGGGCAAATGCCTGTCTTCAACCTGGAATGATTGACAGAGGCAGTAACCAATAGCAGCGCTTTATATGGCTGGCAGAAGATCGTCATTGGGATTTTAGTTTAGGCAGCACACGCTGTCTTCACCCAGGCCTCCACGTACAGAATCTGAATGGAGCTTTGCAGAGATATCTCCATTTCGTTGCCAGTAAGCTAAAAGTCAAGCAGACGGAAGGAGGGAAATGGGAGATCTGTGTTTGACTATGGATGAAGCCTATAGCTTACATGTCAGTAGCAGAATCAAACCTCAAAACATTGGACGTGTTACAAGCTCACGCCCTGAGAGTCATTTAGTAGTGGGTCATTTAAAACATCTCCAGTCCCATAATTTATTTACACACAGGTTATTCCCCTTACCAAGTGTTGTACCACTGTTGGCAATGTTATTGGCCCTGCAGTGGATAGAGGAAAAAGAGTTTTTAAAAAACACAGTGATTGCATCTGATAGCTACTCAGCATTTACAAGCATAAAAATAAGCAGATCATTTAGAACAGACATCATCGATGAAATATTTATCATTATGTACAGACTGGATATACAGTATCTACACACTTCCTCTGGGTTCCTGCTCATGTTGGTGTAGAGGGAAATAAAGAAGTAGATATTCGGGCAAAGCAAACTCTCAAAATTAAACAAGTAGATCTTCCATTCCCATTAAATAAATTTGAAGCTGAAACATTCCTTAGGTGATATTTACAATCGGTTTGGCAAGAATATTGGAATGACAGTGAACCTGGAATACATTTACATAATATATAGAGACTTGTTGGTAGTGGGAGGGTGGCGAGCAGGAGAAAAAGGGAAGAAAATATCATCACTTGTCTGAGAAGTCTAAGTCTAAGAATGGGTCATACAGGACTGAATTATACACTACATAAAATAAGCAAGCACCCAACTGGGAAATGCATACCTTGTAACCAACCAGAAACAGTTGAACGTTTACTGCTTTATTGTAGGGAATACAAAATTGAGAGAAATCACCTTTTTCAGTCAATAAGAAGGGCAAAACCTCTGCAAAAAAAAGCTAAATGGTGACATTATTAATTTTATAAATGAAACCGGTTTAGCCTAAAGAATATTGTTTTTTTTTTCCTACATAATCTCCTGATCCACACTCCAGTCCAGTCGGTGGCGATAATACACCTATAAGCTGGTTTGCCAACCGCCATTAAACACCTAAGAAGAAGAAGAAGAAGGAAGGAGGGAAATGAATGAGGAAAAATGTGAAGAGAAGTGCTCATTGTAAAGTCGCTTGACAGTCTGTAACCGACTTCACATGACGATATTCGTGACTTGGAATACTTTTATGAAAAAAAGACTTTGGATTTTTTTTCATCTGTGGACTAAAGGAATATAAATAATAGAGGACAGACAGTTGACAGACGATTGTCCTCCATTACATCCACTTCAGGACGTCTGTTAAAGTAGGAGCTGCCATTGTTTGGCTGGTTTTGCTAGTTGAATTAAAATGCTCGTAAATATGAACGAACTACACTTTTTTGCTCATGGTTACTGGAAAAGTAACTGAATATTTGTATATAATATAATATAATTATAATATAATAGTGGAGTTTCTAACTGAGCTAACCAGGTCTAACATGTCAACATTGACTGGAGTTTATTTATATCTTTGTGACTGTTAAAACTTTCTAAAAACTTCATAAGATCATAACCGGGTCGCCGGAGACTCAGTGGATTGTAAAAGATGGCAGTGTGGGTGTGTCTGTGAGCCTCAGTTGTACTTTCTTTTAATTAGCAAAGTTTAGCATGTTGACATGTTAAACTATAATTGTGAACATAAGCATGTCAGGTTTGTCATTTTGACAAGGTTAGCATGATCACAGAGCCGCTAACATGACTGTTAGTCGTGTTCACGTAAAAGTAGCCAAACCACCTTGTTAATTATGTATATATTATCAGCTGTTGCTGCAACTACTCCGATTAACCAGTTTTATAATGATCAAATCTGAGCCATGATTAAAGTGTCACACAGCACTAAAGATGTCTCACAGACAGGTATCCCATTAACAACTGAGGAAAACTGTGTCATGACAGCTGAAATATGGATATTTGCAGTTTTTAGAAATAAAGCAACTTGCTGTAAACCAGTAAAATTGCTGCTTGTATGTTGCATACAACTCATCCTGGCATTTCCAAAAATCTTTTTTTTCAACAACACATTATACAGTTAATGAAGTGTTAGAAATAACACTAACACAGACTATGCGCAGTTATCTGTAGAGGTACACCACATGCCCCTCCATCTTGTCACCCTGGTCTTTTCATATATATATCTATATATTGATATATCTCTATATCTATATCTATAGATATATCTATAGATATATATATATTCAGTGTAAAAAAAAATGTAGAAAAAGGCCTCATTATTATTCCCTGAGGTCCAGGTTAACATCTTCTAACTGCTCTTGTTGTCTGACCAACAGTTAATAACTCCAAAATGTAGAGTTTACTGTGCAGGTAAGTTTTTTGAATCAACTAATCAATTAGTTAATAAATGATTTCTGTTCTAGACAACTGGTTGGTTTCTGGGGGAATAATGAAACTGCACAGTGGCCCCTCTGAAGGATGAGCCCCACCAGAAGAGCTGGAGCATATTATTTTAGAGATCTGATATTTAATCATCAGAGGGTGATGATCTGCTGGTGCGGGAGGGGGGTGCAGGGTCTCAGTATTGAGTTTGGTTCCACTTCCTGTGAGGATGATTTTTTCCACCCTCACAGGGCTCTCGCTCTTTTTCCATTCTCTGTTTATGTCTCTCATCCCCACCCCACCCCATCCCCATCTCTCCCCCCTTCCTCCTACATTCCCAGGATGCTGCACTTTGGTGGAGATAAAGTTAGCACTGCAGAAGTGACAACACGTTGTAACCATTACCCGTCACCACCTCCTCCTCCAAATGATGCAACCCCAAACCCCAGCCTACTCCCACACAGCCCACCCCTCCACCCAACCCCCACCTCCCTCCCCACCCCAGTATATTATCTGGTCGTGTGTCTGTGGGATGCTAGGCAACATAAACAAAACTAAATATAACAGCCGAGCTGCTTCAGCTTTCCAGTCTGTCCTCAATCTGCTCCGCAGAGAAAATCCTCAGTGAGGAAATTAACAAGACGTCAGGAAATTTTCACTTTATTAAAACTTACATGTCTGTTGACACAGAATAAATAAGACTGAGCTGTCAGAGAGAAACTCTCAGCTCCACAATTACACTTACATCTACATGTGAGCTCATTAATATGGTGGAATACATGACATTTGGTTATTTATCACCACGTTGGATCATAGTGCACTAGTTTAAACATACAAAGTGGCATGCATATCAGAGAATATTCCTGTCTGTGACCTCACAGATTCATTCTCCAGGTCGTGTCTTCAAATTTAATCTCATGATGATAAATCACAGAATGTTTAAATCCAATATTTCCTCTCCACAGATTCAATATGGCTGAATCACAGAGTAAAATGTACAGAGGTCACAGACGGGGACAATCAGAGACGAGACAACCTGACGACTGTTTCATCTCAGGAAGAGAAATGTCAGCAACAAAGTACCTTTACATGTCTTTTATAGCTTATTAGCAGCATTTAGTTACAGATACTGAACATCATCATCAGGGAGCTCTGAGGGGCTACAGGAAACCATCTCCTATATCAAAGCATGGTATTGATTAATTCATTAATAATTTAGTCCAAAATGTCATATGGCAGGAAAAACAAAATTAAGATCCATGCAAACAGATGAATAAATTGAGCATTTACAGTGACAGGGACCTCTGACCTTCAGAATAAAAGCAGGGGAGGTGTTATAAAGTTAATCTAATGCAGTTTTCTTTTCATATCCACTGAATGAAAGCACAGACAGATAATTAATGTCAGAAAAACAGGAAACTAAAATGTGTGGTGCACATAACAGCACAAGCATCAGGGGTTCAGGTATTTCTTGCATCATAGATTTAGTTAAAATTTAATTAAATGTATTCTTTTGGCATTTAAAGCTCTGAAAACTGAACTGTATTTTACAATGACTAACACACAGTGACTCAGTTGTTATCGATCTACAGAATATGAGATTGGCTTTTTTTGACACTGATTATTCGTCTGTGGCTTCTTATAGCTGCTATGACAATTAAATCATTTAAAATCTGTTTTTAAAAGGAATTCTAATTCAGAGTTTTTATTCTCATTCAAAATATCCCGTAAACCAAATGCTCAGTTTAGTAATTTCTCCGATTTCCATGGCAATATTTTTTCCACCATATGACCCCTGAGGGCGTCTGTAGAAAACTCTAACCATCAGTTCCCAGAGTTCTTCAAATGTTGTCTCCAAAACTCCAAAACAGAAACATGAAGAAGCAGAAACCAGAGAATGTTTGGCAAGTGACGTAAACGACTGATCGATTATCAGAGTTGTTGGCGATTCATTGATTATCAAACTCATTGTCTCAGGACTTTAGCTTTGTAACAGAAAGTTTAGCTGTTGTCCATCGTCCAGCTCTTCCATTGTGATGGAGTTATTTTCTGGATCCTCCTGCAAGCTGACATGTGTCTAGAGAGTCATGCTTTACTCTGAGCACCACAGCCTCCCATCGCTAAGGAGAGTTAGATCACCTCAGGTGGAGTCCAAGGTCCATCTCTTTACAGTGTGTAAACCTGATGGCACTGGATTTGCAAAGTCGACCAGTTCATGAAAGTCTGGTGCGTTCAGGTTCACGTCTTCCTGAAGTTTGTCATCTTGACTGTCCAGATCTAACAGCTGTTTCTTTGGACAAGGATCAGGCCACACAGTATCCCTGACTGGCCATGAGCGCTGTCTGACTCTCCCTCCGTTTGTCCTTCTTCTTTCTCAGTCGAACCCTCCAGCAGACAGCGCTGGAGCCCAGCAGTCCCAGTCCAGCAGACAGCAGCACCAGTCCCAGCACCGAGATGGTTGACCCATGAGAGTTGAAGGTGTACGCCACCGCTGTGACCACAATGCCGGCAATGAGGACCACCACGCCAAACGGAACGGTGCAGCGGTAGCAGGACATCTCGGCACCACCGGTGGCCGCAGTCAGCTGGACCTCATTGATGTGCGGGACGTGCGTTGTCAAGACAACGCTGTGGTCCTTGCTGGCCTTGTCCCGGTTCAGCTTCTCGGCAGAGATCAACGTCGGCACCTTCATGGCACTCCGGGGGATCCTGGGACCACCTTTGCTATGGAGGTCGTCCGGCATGGTGATCTTACTAGCAAGGAACAGGTGAGCCATGTTGATACTGATGTCAGCAGTCAGCCAATCACAGAACAGCTAGCTGAAAACAGACAATGAGAGGGAGGTTAAGGCTTCTGTTTCTCTGACCTTAATGAAGAGCTCAGAATATCATCAGGCACAGCTACAGCGGCCTGTTATGGATATAAACAGGAGTCTTATTGTCACATTAACCCAATTACAACATAGATCTACTACTAAGCTCCACAGGAAGAATGGAACCGCGTCATTTCCAACTCCACTTCTATTCTACGTGGATATTGTGTCAACATTGCATAGATATATTCCTAGAATACTAATACTATGTTGAAATCAAGATAATGGAGATAAAATTATTATTGTGCCTCATTCTGTTTCGCAATAAATTTCATCCCCCCTACAAAAACCATCCCCCCATCCACTTCCTGGTTACGTTTCAGCGTACGTTAGCAACATACATAGGAGTGCGTCATCCTGAGCAGTTTGCTGGTTCAGGGACTTTCTATATATAGTCAGGAGAGACCATGCCTTGTTTAGCTGCTATCCCACGCTCAGATATCTTAAACTTATATCATGTATAACCCAAAAAATGACATAGATGAAACGCTTGTTGTTTTGAAATCGTTTTTTTTTTTTTTATGTTTTTGTTTTTTGTTAGTGCTTGATATTAGCTTTACTATCAACAAGCTGCTGCCAGGGTTGATGTGTTGTAGTTGATCTTATTTATTTTGGTCCAATTTATTGTTTATACATTTTTATATTATATATTTAATTGTATATATTTAGATATTATCCATTAATAATTATTTCATTTATTTATTTAATTTTTTAAAATTATTATTTTAGGTTGTTTTTCCAGTGAGTTGTATTTAAAGTTCAAGTTTTATTTAAAAGTGCATTAAATACATCAATGAGTAATCATGTTAAATAATTGTGATCTCAGTATTGATCAAAATAATCCTGATTATGATTTTTGCCATAATTGAGCAGCCTTACTGTATTTTCTGATACTTGCATTTGAACAAACAAACAAATCGTATGATCAGATCTGCCAAAAAACTGTTATTTTATGACAGAAGAATATAGTGCACTAAACTTGTTAAATCATGTATCTTAAGAAAATAAGGAGACTATGAGACGATACAGGAGAAGAATATTTATATTTTTCTGTGTTCAGCTGCTGTTAATCAAACTTTGATATGAAACAGATGGAAGGAAGTGTTTCATTTACAGACAGACCAATGACTGCAGATCCGAGAACAGGGTGGTGTCTCATTAAGTAGACTCAAATAAAAAACCTGACCTAAATAAAAGTCCAGACACACTTTTACACAATCTAGTGAAAATAAGTCAACCTTAACTCGTCTGGTAGTGAGGGAGGAGGGCAGAGAGATAACTTCAAAATATCACCTTTAATGAAGGTGCAGCAAATCAAATGAAGGTCAATAAGATTCAGAGCTCAGGAAGAGTTTAAAAGATGCTGCTGTAAAACACAGTTCATCCTTTAGTCAATCAGCCATGAGGAAATCAAGACTGTGAATGGGTAAAAAAAAAGAACCGCATTAATTTCATCCCTGTTTTCAGCTGTAAAGGCAAAATATCATTAGAAATGTGTGCGTTTAATCAGTACTCACATGTTAACACTATGTTTTTCTGTGTAACATTACTGTTTATATAGGTCTGCACAAATTTTATGTAGATTAAGTCAAATAATTTTTCCAGATTCACACACTTGGTTTTTTAAATTCTTTCTGAACCTTTCACATAATCCTGTAAACACTCATATTCTCTGTTTCTGTGTGAAAAGTTTTTAAGTGACAAAAAGTTTTAGGTTCTGACAAATATCAAACTCGGTCATTAAGAAACAAAGTCTGTTAAAAAGCTTTAAAATGTCTCCCCTTAAATCTCTGTGGAATTTAGTTACTGAACACCTTAAATAATTAACCAATTAAGTCATAAGTTCATACCTGAGCAAAAAAAAACAAAAAAAAACGCTTTTACCTCCTCTAGGTTTTTTAGGTTAAAATTATAATTACTAGATTAAGATGACGGAAACTAAACGTGACTGTTTTATTTGTAATATTTTTATTTGTTACATGACCATTATTGTGAAAAGACTGATAATCACTGGTCTCCTCCTGTAACGTTTAGATTGATATAAATTTGAACGAATGTAGGAAATTACATAGAGGTTTTGGTTGTTGTGGAGACGGACATCTGAGTTCATTGTGTCGTCTCGACCACTGCACATTCGGTGGTGGAAGAAGAACTCAGATTATTTATATATTATTGATTAATGATAGTAAAAGTATCAGCGGCAGAGTTTCAGTTGACTCTGTTACAGATCAAAGTTCTGCAGTCAAAATAAATATATACAAAAGTATAATCAGAAGAATTTTAAAAAAGTACCAAAAGTATTATTATAATGCAGAATAACCCCCTTTAAAGGGTTATAATGTGAATTACGTTATACGATGATGATGATGATGATGGTGATGATGATGATGATGATGATGATGATGATGATGATTATTATTATTATTATTATATGCATTAATATTACTATTGATTTGCTGTTGTAGTTGTTGAGTTGGAGCTAATTTTAACAGTTTTATACACAGTTTATTTCCAAAAGAACAAGAAGATAAACTTATATTTCGTAAGTAAAACCTTAATCTACAAAGTAACCAGTGACCAGAGCCGTTACATTGATTGACTTTATTGTCCACCTTAGTGGAAATTCATCTTCGGCTTCTCCCAAAGAAAGTACAATAGAAGATACATACAATTCACATAACAAAAACACGCCTTTAAAAACATAAAATAGTGCAAATGAGCAGGTAGCAGCTAAATGTGCTGGAGTAAAAAGTACAATATTATAAGTATAATATAATAAGTACAATACAATAAGTAGTACCTCGAAATGATACTCCTGCGCAGTTACTTGTACTTAGTTACTGAACACATCTCACCACAGTCTGAAAATAAAACTTTATGGAGGTTTTAGGGGATGTGTCACTGCTCTGAGATCAACAGAATATGTGAATAGAGAGAGAAAACATACACACACACACACACACACACACACACACAGAACTGGTTTAACTGCTGCGTGACCGTCATTGCTGCAGGTTGATAAGTTTCAGTGATGCAGCTGCAGGTTAAAGACAAATAAAAGCACTCACTGTTGAACGGTGCAGATCTCCATTCCTGTCAGGGTTCAGTTATTCCTCCGACCACAGAGCTGAAGTCTCAGTCATGTTGTTTCCCCTCAGCGTCTCAGAGGCTCCACAGGTTTCCCTCTCTCTCTCTCTCTCTCTGTCTCCTCCTGGCTCGTCACTCCGCATCGTCCTGACTGCAGGAATAAATGGGGGAATATGGCTATCAATAGAAAAACGGGGGACCTCCCCTCACACCCCCCACACCCCCCCCTCCATACCACCTCCTACTGGACCAACAGGAAAAGTTTTAACTCTTTCCTCACTTCAGCTGGTACCCTGTCCGCCTGCCCTGCTCTGTCTCACCACCAGACATTCACATTTACATTGATTAATGACGAACTTCATTCAAACTAATTAATGGAGGAGGAAAATAGATCAGTACTTTTCCAGAACAACTCAACCAACCCCTTGAATTTTGACAGGTACATTTATTTTTTTCACGTCATTTATTTTGACATTAAACTTTTGTTGGACACAATCCCCCAGAGCTGTAATTCAGGAATCTTTAAAAGAATGACACAGAAGGCTATAAAAGAAAAAAAAGCCAAGAACAACTCCAGCATCCAGATGTCCCTTTATATTCTGTTAACGAATATCTCAACATTGTCTCTGACATGTTGCGTCCTGAATGTGAGGCAGAGAACTGTCCAGACTTGGTTCAGTTCTGTGTTGCCACTTTACAATAAGACAAATGATTTATGAATGGTTTATAACTAGTTTATCAATCATCTTTTTAACACTAAATAAATCATTTGTAAGTTGTTATAACACATTAGTTAAAAAGGGCAACAGTGACCTGTTGCTTGCCAAATAGTGAGCCCACACATCTGCAACAAATGATGCTTTATTTTAGGTTTAATCAGACTAACGTCACATGTCGAGCCTCATTTACATCATGTGCATGAACTTAATCCCAAGGGGCTGCTTTGGGAAAGAAATGTGTGTAGAAATGTGTGTGTTTGTAGAAATGATCATAGACAACACTCTCGACTAAGACTGATTGTTGTCAGTTATGTAACATCAGTCTGTTCTTTTACTGCAGCCCAAACCCTGCAGAGGTTAATCCTCTAACACACGCATTCATCATTATTACATCATCACTCATTATTGCAACTCTAACAAATACAGTCTTAGGTTGAGCCCATTTTAGACAGTACGAGGGTGTAAAATAAATCTCTGTGTCTCTTGTGGTCCACATTCTCTGGTCTTCCTTAATCCCACTGTCAAGACCTCATATTTTAGTTTGTATATTTGAAATGTTTTTTGTAAGATACTGATGCAGAACGGATCATTTAAGATGCAGTTAAGTTTCTAAGACAAATAAAAAATCTTGTTTATTTAGTCTTGTAATGGAGACGGCATGTTTACTCCACGTTATACAGAAATGTGCAGGTTGAAATATGAAACTTCATTGCCTCCGCTCCAGTACTCCCGTATGACTGCCATAAAACTGAAACTTTACATCTGAAAATGGTTGTGATGGAGTCACATTTCCTCTGCCAGAATCCTCCTGCTGTTCCCTGGGAAGCCTCCACCCTGCAGCTTGAAAACCCGGTTCGCCCCAGACCTGCAAAACTTTAACATCTGGGAGGAATCAGCTGGGAGACACTGTGGAGGCTTGTTTATTGTCCTGACCCCGATGCTGTCCTCTGAGGTTCTGAACGGCTCCAGTTTCACGTCTACGGTGGTCCAAGAGCAGAGTGTTTCTGTGGAGGGACTGATGACAGAGAAGGAAAAAAAAACAGTTGTGAGCATCATGTTGAGACTAAGTTCCTCCTTTAAAACACTAAAACTCATCACACAGCTCTCAGGTGACTCGATGTTGCAGTTGTATATATATATATACAGTATATACTGAAGTCTGGTTTGTGTTCAGGGTCTCTGTTCTCCAGCAGATCCAGTGTCAGTGTTTTTGCAGGATAAACTTATTGCTCATCACACAGACAGAAATTGTTTCATTTTTGGTTTTTACATTTAGGAGGACGATTTTTTTTAAAGACAGCAACGTATTGGTGAAGCCATGAGCCAATCCCTAAAAATCCATATAATCCTTGTTTAGATAATAGATGTTCAGTTCAAATAAAAAAAATGTCATTAACAGTAGCTGGTAAGTTGGTAGTCAACAATCCAATATTAAGATGAAATTGGAAAAGTAAATCAGTAACATAAACTTTAGCTGCTACATTTGACCTTCACAAATCTAATGTCAATGGAAAATGACAGTGACAGTGACATTACCTGCCAGTGTTCCCTACAAAAAGTGAGTAGTAAGTTAAAATGAAAAAAGTATGAGAGTATGATGATTCTAAAATGAATGAATGTGATAAATTGTCAACTGCTAACTTTGTCCATTAAACTTTTAACATCTAATTAAAATGAAATAATATCAGTAACATTAGCTAATGGCCATCACAAATAATAGAATTAGTTGCTGCCACTGATGACCACGTTACCCAGATATGGCCATCACAAATTTTATGAAATGAGAAGAAAATCAAAGTTAACCGTCCTGTTCATCAACAAAGATATGATGTGATATCTTCTAATGCACATTTCTATGAAGAAACCTGGAATGGAGAAGTGTTGGAGCTGAGAACTGTATCTTTAGCCGTCAGTCGTTATCACAGACATAAACGACGGGACCTGCTGTGATCAGGTGAATGATGAGCGTCCTCTCTCAGAGGCAAAGCAGGATGGAGAGTCATGTTGTTGTAGCTTTCGTTCGTAAAAGGAGCCTTATTGTAAAGTGTAAAACACATCATCATTTAGTAATGAGTTACTATAAGACTCCTTTTACCAGTTATAAAGGGTAGTACGTCATTAGTCAGATCAATAAGTAGTAAGCATTAACTTAATCTTGCCAAATAGTGAGCCTGCATTAATGTGTTAAAACTGTGTTATAACTTGTTTATAATTGTTTATTTATGAGTTATAAAGTGTTAACAATCGAATTAATAACCTCATATATAAACCATTTATAATTCCTTTATAAGAGTCGTCTTATGTAATTAACATTAATGGAAATTTTGTACAGATTATACAAACCAGATATAATGTGATGTAATGTTTTATGAATTAATTAGAGGAGCTGGTAGGTGAAGACAGATGCAGGCTAGCTGTTTCCCCTGCTTCCAGTCTTTATGCTAAGCTAAGCTAACCAGCTGCTGGCATGGGTTAACATGGAGAGATAAAGATGAGTTTTCAGATTAATGAGCTTTAATGTGAATGAAATCTCCACCCTGTCGCTCCTGCAGAGTTCAGCTGGACACGTCTGGCCTTATTTGAAAACCCTGAGCAGACTTTGCTTTTGCAGATGATCCTCTGAGGGGTCGATGTGGGCCAACAGGGCCCCCGGTGAGTCCTTTCATCTGGAGTGAGGGGTCACCGCAGCGGGGCCTGAGAGAGAGGATGGAGCCCCAAAACACCGTGACCTGGAGAGGACTGGAGAAACTCAGGAGCAGCTAGTGAGTACAGACACAAACGTCTCCCTTGTGAAGATGACTGTAAATATCTGCACCAGGAGTTTGTTTTATCTAATTTGCATTCATGGTTTCAACAGCCACTGGAGTGAAATTGGTTTAATTTCCCAGCGGCTCTATGTGCTCACTTCACATTATTTCCCCAAAGGAGGATCTGTAGTGCTTCTCTCTAAACTAATCAGGCAAAAATGAGATGTTTAATGAATGCATAGAGAATCATCTTCCTTCCTGGCCCATTACTCGGCTGTCCAGGGACGGAGGACGAGTGCTAAATCACTTCCTTCCCGGATCCATTTCTGGGTTAGGGATGATGTGAGTTATTTGCTTTGGATCCTTCTCTCTGGAGACATCCTCCCTGCTTCCTCTGGACGGCAGATGGTTACAGACTGTGAGGTTAGCAGCTATTAGCAGCTCATGACTGTTTGTTCTGCTTCCTGTGAATACAGGTGTGTTCAAACGAGCCACAGCTCTGTCGTCTCACATGCTGCTCATTTGCTTTGGCAGCGGAAAAGTTGACTTTGCATCTTTGTAGCTTCACACAGCCCTGTTACTAAAAAAAAAAAAAAGCTACTTATAAAAGTGTGTGGTCATAGCAGCAGCCCCACGAGGCTTCAACAGAACTGATGAAAAAAGAAGAAAATAACTTTTGTTTCCACTGATGGGGTAAAAAATGTAAAAGCTTTTCCTGAGGGTGGAGCCGCAGAGACGTTTATGTTGTTACTAAAATTAAATCGGTAAAGAATAACCATGTTTTTATGCTTGTGCGCTGGCAACAGTTAGAGTCCGTCCATCTCAGCAACGCCTCGACTGAACTGATTAGATTTTGGCGGCTAAAGGTCAAAGGACAAGGTCATGGTGACCTCACAAAACACTTTTTAGCCATTACTCAAGACTTCACACCAATTATCACAAGATTTCACACAAATGATTCATATTTTCTCTGACTGTGGATAAACAGGGATGTAATGAAACCAGTCTGAGTGGAGGAGGCAGACGACCACGAGGAGGTGATTTTAGTCTTTACTGTCATCGGAGCTCATGTGCTGACGCAGAAACATAAAGAGATGGTTTCTCAACTCGCTCTGGAAAATGAAAAACACCAAAGTCAAAAAGCACAAGTGAACAAACAGTGTGCAGCCAGAAAGAGAGAGGAGGGGATGTGACAGAGGGATCCAGGATGTGTGACTGTCAGCGTGATCATCATTTGGTATTATTGGGATCAGAGGAAACTGAGGATGTTATTAAAGAGAGAAAGAGTGACAGGATGGCAGATCAAATAAAGAGGGGGCAGGTCACAGGTGCTCGATGAAAGGTCCTGATGATGTGACAAATTCAGAGATACGTGACTGAAATAAAATCTTAGAAATCTGAGAATCAAACCAAAAATATTTAAACTACTAAAACATGTTTGTCTCAACAGACTAAATCTGGTGAAAAGCTTTGTTTTTTATCAACTTATAAATTGAAAATAGATCATTTAGTAGGGCTGCAAATGGAGAGAAATGTCGGGGAAACTTCAGAGTAAAAGAAAGAGGACAGGATGAAAGACGAGAGACAAACAGGTGACGAGAGGAAGGAAGAGAAAGTCTCAGAGAGGAGGATGGGGATAAAGAGGGAGTGAGGGTGAAGAGAAAAAGAGGGAGCTCCAGGTTTGGACAAGGGGAGGAAGCGTTCCCATAATTCACTGTTTTCATGTGGGATTACCTCACGTCCTGCTGCTCAGCCTCAACACGTCGGCCGTGGCCCTGGAGAGCCGACAGGAAGGGCTTCCAGTTCAGAGGTCAGCAGGTCACAGAAAACACTGGAGAAACCTTCTGAAATCCATCTTCTATCTGTGCGGACAGTTCACTCTGAATACTACAGTTCCCATGAGCCTCAGCGGCAACCGGAGCAGAGAATCCAGCCAGAGAATGGGACAAAACTGCTGCTTTTCTGCAGAGCTGACAGTTGTACTCTGACCTGTTGATGCAGGTTTTGACACGTCATATACATCTAAAGATCTCTTTCATTCTCATTTATCCGTCAAATATTTTTTTCAGTGAATAAATGAATTGATGAAATCGCTCATTACAAGTTCTCAGTGTGACGTCTCCAGGTTCTGTTTTCTGTCTGAACAAGAGTCCAGAACCCAAAGATTTTCGGTTCACTGTGATGTAAACACCAACGAGAATCACCTCCTGCTCCACTCAGACTAGTTTCAGGTTACCTCCCTGTTTATCCAGAGTCATAGAAAATATGAACCATTTGTGTGAAATTTTATAATCATTGCTGTGTGAAGTCTTGCTTTATGGCTAAAAAATGTTTTGTAAAGTCACACTGACCTTGACCTTTGACCTTTGACCACCAAAATCTAATCCCTTTGTCCTTAAATCCAAGTGGGGGAATAAAATTACAGGAAATCCTCACTTTTTAGCAAAATAACTGTTATTAATGATTGATCTTTTCTCTAGATCTACTAAGTGACTGATTGTTTTGGCTTCTGATTGGATGTTTCTTGCAGCAATGCTCTCTGGGACTTCTATTTTTAAGGTTTATACATCATATCACGCAATCATGACGTGATTCCAGCAGTGTTTATTCTGATTTTTAAAAAAAACTAATACATTTAGTAAGAGCAAAATAACAGACAGCAGATCACATGAACACAGTGTTAGACTGAATGATGAAATCCAGTCTGATCAGGCTGGTCCAGGTTTAGTCCATGAATGTGAGGACAGTCACTCTGATGATGAGAAGGAAGCTGCAGAAGACAGACCTGGTTCAATGAAGACCCTCCGCAGCTCCTCACTTCATCATCACCATCATCACCTGTCTCTTCACTGAATTATGTGGCACAAACTGACCTGCTTCAGAAGTGGAGCATCAGCCAGATGTTTCCTGCTGTATGTGCAGCAGCTGGCCGGCAGACTGACTAAAAGCTGCTGTTTGTGTATCACATGGGGATTTGAGGTATTAGACTAAAGTCAACAGGGGAGGAAAGAGACTGAGTTCACTTCAGCGCTTCTGCTGCTTCACTCAGTGTCACCTCTGTCCAACAGCTGGAGTTTTATATTCAACATGAGGAACACAAAGACTTCTGTCAGGCCAGGCTGGATTACCAAGACCCCTCCGCCCTCAGAGGCCCCAAGAGCCCCAGGTTCATTTGAGGAATCGTTCATTTGTTGGGAAACATGCAGCTACAATACAATTTCAACTGAAGCTGAGATACAGGATCTTTAACCAGTCGCTAGATCCTGCCGTGAAGAATCAGCCTGTGTCAAAAATGAGTTTTACAGACAGAGATGAACATGGTTGTGTCTTATATAGATCTGACATATATTATTTTTTTATGTGAAAACATGCATTCACAGATTTTATTAAAAGAAAAACAGACTGTAGTCATCATTTCATCATGCAGAATATAAATCAGTTTTGTGCTAAATAAATGATCAATCATTATATATGTGTATTTCTTCAATGTAACCCTCAAACAGTTTCAGCTAAAAGTACTGTTAATATGTTTGAACTTTGGCTGCACTCTGTTGTTACAACACAAGTCACATTAGGTGTTAATACAGCACTGACAGAGAAAACGAAAACAAATCAAAACCATAACAGCCACAGCAACAGCAGTACAAATACTGAAGAAGACAACAGATTAACTGACGGAAAAAATGTGGAGTCCACACACTGAAGTTTATCTCCAATAAAATTTATTTGACCAACCAGGAAATAACTAAATAACTAAAGTTTATATAATTTATAGTCAGTTTAATTAGTTTCCTTGAAGTGGACATGATACATAGACAAGGCTCAGAGAGATGATGGTGGTGTCACTGTCTTTTAAAAACAAACCTCCAGTTTACATGATGCTAAATCAACAACTGTTTTTTTTTTTTTTTAATGACATCAAATAAGTCACAAATATCACATGGATATTACAGTAACAAGTCTTTATTACAGCCTCATAAAATATAGTTGGATGTCACGAAAACTTTTACACTCACAGCTGCAGCCATACTGACATCTTGTGGTGCTGACAGGAACTACAACTGCTTAAAACTGTATTGAGCCTGTGTTCATGTGCTGCTTGTAGCCTGGTTTACAGAGGTGACTCATGTAACTGTACAGGTAGAAAGTTGTTCTGAAAGCGTACAGACACCTGGAAACACCTGGACCACCTCAGGGCTGAGATCAGCTCACTAAGGTGTCGAACGTCCAAAAGAGTGAGAGTTTCAATATTATTCAGGAGGTTTACAGAAGAGTTTAATTTTAACAAATGTCTTTTAAGTCACTATCCATCACCAATAGGTCACATAATGGTGGTTGAGCCTATGACCCACTGATGGAGTTCCATAGAAGTCTTGCAATCTACAGTCTTATAAACTTGTTGTCTGGTAAGACTCAGCTGCAAATGTACAAGGAACACAAGTCAGTGTTGTGTGTTCCAAGTGTGGTTAAAAAACAAACCTGTAATTACAATGTATGGCCACAGGTGTCGCCAAAGATAACAAAACAGAGATGTTGGAGATTAACACTTTAAATACTCAAATCTGACTAACTGAGATTCAGATGATTCCTGACTTTCAGTAGTTTGACAAAACAAAACATTAAATAACAAAAATCATAAACTCAAGCTCCACTTTTTCTGGAGCTTTCAGCAGCCAGACATGAGCATCTGATATTCAGACTAATGTCAGTATTGAATTTATCAATGCATCATCTGATTTACTCAAGTTTAAGTCATGTGTTATTTTTGAGTGAAGTCCAGGTTATTATGTCCACCAAAGAAGAGAAACCACCAAAGCAGAGTTTCCTGACATTGAAATTGTATTTATATATTTTTTGTATTGATTTAAAGTGAACTGGGGCTCCTGTCAGAGTTCAGTGTGTCCATCCTCACGGCCTCCTGAAGCGACTCAGGATGGGATAGATGGTTTCAAACGCTCTGTAGATGTCAGCTACTGTTTTGGCTCCTGGAAAAAATAAAACACAAGAGATGAGAACTTTAATTATATCAGCAATTTCAAAATGAAGTTACCGAATGTTCTACAGAAACAAGGGTTATCAAATCAGGAAAGGGCACAAGAGGGGATTATATTTTAATTTAGTGCGACCAGAATTCAAACACATCAATAATCTCTTAAAGGAAGACTAGAAGTACATAGAAGACTCCTTGAACCTCTTCAGGGACTACACAGACTACCTGAGGGACCACTAGATCTTCTAGAGCCCTGGAATCTCTGTAATATATTTCTGCTGTTGTAATGATCAATAAAGAAGGATGTGTGGACACAAATGCAGCTTAGTCACCGGTAAATGCCATCTTCCCAGAGGCAAAGATGGTCACGGTGATACCGGGCATCACGTAGTAGAAGAGGCCAGGAAACAGTTCTGGTTCATAACTGTGGAGAGAGAAGAACACAAAACCTGACATCAAAGGGACCAGATACATTCAGCTGGAGGACTGAGGCTCATGCAGCCGCTGACCTGCAGTGTTGATGGTGCACCAGCATCAGTTGCTCCAAACTGACAGGGAAGATGCTGCAACTGGCCACCACGTTCTGGACCTTGAAGTCCAGGAAGGAGACGGGAAAGCCCAGTTTCTGCACTTTGCGAGCAAACCTCCTGGTTGCCACCTGGGACTGATCCTCACTGCTCAAACACACAGACGTGAAGGGGACTGAAAACTGTCCTGAAAACTGTCATGTAGCATCAACATCACTGGGGACAGTAACAGTAACAGACTAACAGACCTCTTCGCTCCTGTACAGACAATATTTCCAGATTTGTAGATCACTGCTGTTGTTCGCGGCTCACGGATCCTCATGACGAGCGCCTTGTAGCTCTGAAACACAACAGGAAACTCAAAGGTCAATGAGTCAGGCTAAATAAATTGGAACTAGAATCACTCATGGTTGTCTGCCTCCTCCGCTCAGACTAGTTTCAGGTTACCTCCCTGTTTATCCAGAGTCGTAGAAAAGATGAACCATTTGTGTGAAATTTTGTCATAATTGCTGTGAAGTCTTGCATAACGGCTAAAAAGTGTTTTGTGAGGTCACACTGACCTTGACCTTTGACCACCAAAGTCTAATCAGTTCATCCGTGAGTCTTAGTGAAAGTTTGTGCCAGAGTTCTCAAGATATTGCATTAACAAGTCCAAAATCATGTTTTGTGAGGTCACCGTGACTTTGACCTTTGACCTTTAGAATCCAAAATCGAATCACTTTTGTCCTTGAGTCCGGGTGAATGTTTGTACCAAATTTGAAAAAAATACCCTCAAGGCGTTACGGAGATATTGCTTTCACGAGGCCAAAACCGTGTTTTGTGAGGTCACTGTGACCATGATCTTTGATCTTTGACCCCCAAAATCTAATCAGTTCATCCTTGAGTCCTAGTGAACGTTTGTGCCAAATATGAAGATGTTCCATCAAGGTGTTACTGAGGTATTGTGTCCACGAGAATGAGGATGAGATGGATGGAGGATGGACAACCTGAAAACAATATGGCTGCCTCTCTGACTGTCGTGTGGTTCTGCGTTCTGGTACCTTTGGGTTGTACTCTACGTTCCAGGCATTTTGGGCAATGAAGTTCAGGTCCAGACGACAGCACAGCTTCACTGAAGAGACGACGTTCCTGCACACAGACACGCTGGACATGGACTTTTACAATGACATGTGAATGCAGCATGACACTCAGGAGTACAGATTTAGCAGGAGGGAGTTTTAAAACTACAGTAAAACAGGTGAGCTAATGAGGAGGATCGTGTGATACGATCAAAAGCTCCAGAACTACTGTTTCCAATGTCAAGATGAATTTTGAATCAACTTCTACGTAAGCTATCGTGGATAAAAAGTCCTGAAAATGGTCGGACATTTGAACATAACTGATTCTTAAAGGACTGGAAAAAAAGTCATCTGATGAGGAAGACAGTGTGATAAGACTGAAAGTTCCAGAGGAGCTACTACATAGACCTTGTGTTGAGTTTGTTTTGTTGTGACCTACTGTATCTGTGGAAGCTCCGTCACATGAATCACAGGCATCAGGGGGGTCACAGGACGAACACAGGAGCCACCCAGCTCCGGCAGGGATGACGCACCTGGGACTTTGGCCTGTCCTGTGGAATCCTGGGAGCTGTGGTCCACACCAGTTCTGTTGCCATTCTCTGATGAAACAAGCCAAAGACCATCAGAGGTGCAGAACCTTCTGAGTCAGGCTGTTAGCAATATTTTGTCAATTTAACAAAGAATAAAGCTGCCAAGAACCAAAAGTAAAAGAAAAATTACCACAAAATGTACAAATCTTTAGTGATAATCGCTCAATATATTAATATTATGGTTCATGATTGTAAAAAATATTGTTTCGCTGTTTATGTACAAAGAAATACAGCAGGAAATAAGTAAGAAATAAAAGCATAAAACAGTCATTTTACATACAAAGTGAGTTGTTGTTGTTGTTGTTGTTGTTGTTGTTGTTGTTGTTGTTGTTGTTGCTGCTGCTGTACCTGTGTCACCCTGACTGGACTCGTACAGTGTTAGCAGCTCATCAGGCAGTAACCTGAGGAACAGCTCCTCTTCATTCAGCTCCTCCTCCTCCACCTTCACCTGCAAGGAGTCCTGCTGTGAGAGACTGAACCAGTGACACCATCTACAGACCAGAACCAGACCAGAACCATGGAGGAGACATCTGCTGATATTCTGTGTTTTTATTATTGTCAACAAATCCCGACAAACGTGCAAGAGTCAAACCAACACTGAATGTCTCCTAGTAACAAGTATGAGGTGTGTTTGTGAGGTGTCCTCCTGTTTTTCATCAGTAATTAGAAATTCAAATGTGCTTTTTTGCAGCTTTTACTCACATTCACAATGAGGTTATCAAAGTATCTTTCCAGTGCTGACTCATCCATGACTCAGGAACCTTCCAGGACTTTTCAAGGACCTAAAATTACTAAATAAACTTTTGTTAAAGTATTTATGTATGATCAGCTGACTGTGAGAAGTCAAGTACATATGTTTACATTCAAGTGGGTTCACTCATGAATGAGAACTCTGTTGCTAGGCGACAGGTGAGAAAAGATGACATAGCGCTGTTTCTTTTCAAAAAAGATTTGTCTCGACAACAAAACTAATTCTCTGAAGATTTCCACTCATGATGTTGTGGATATTGTTAAACAGACTTTTCTAGAGAGCACAGTCAACGTGGCATCACTTGAACACGTCACAAGCATTAATAATCAGAACATCACGTAACATGCATAATGTCAGAAAACAGGTGAGGTTTTTTTAAGTAGGACTTTGGCTTCTTTTAATAAATGATGTGCAGGAATCTTCATTTTTTTCCCTGTCTTCTTCTCTGCCCTTTTCTTTCTTTTCCTTCTTTCACCAACTTTCCATTTTCTTTCCTTCCTTCCTTTCTCTTTTTCCCTATACCTCCTTTCCTACTTTCATTCAGTTTCCATTTTCCATCCTCTCCCCCCTTTTCTCCTTTGCCCTTCATCTTTCCCTAATGTATTCACATATCTTCTTTCCTTTCTCCTTTCTTTTTATGATTTTTCCTCTTACTTCTATCTTCCTTCCTTATAACTTTTTCTGTGTTTTTTTCTTTTCCCTTTCTTCTCCCCTTCCTAATTTGTATTTTCCATTTTCTCTTCCATTTGTATTCTCCTTTCCTGTATTTCTTCCTTTCCATTTTTTCCTCTCCTTAAGTCTTCTCTCTTTTCCCCTACCTCCATGCTCCCTCACCTTCCTACTTTCTGTTTTCATATTTTCCTCTTACTTCTGTCATGCGTCCTTATAACTTCCTTTCCTTTCTTTTTTCTTTTCCCTTTCTTCTGTGCTACTCATTTTTATTTTCCATTTCTCTTATTTCTTTTCTTCCATTTGTCTTCTCCTTTCTTGTGTCCTCCTTCCTTTCCTTCCTTCATTCACTTTCCATTTTTTCTATCCCTCTTTTCCTTCCTTTTTTCTATTTCCTTTTTATTTTTCATTCCTTGCCTTTTTTCTTCCTTCTGTTCATTCTGCTTCTTTTGTTTATTTTCCATTTTACAGATAGATAGATAGATAGATAGATAGATAGATAGATAGATAGATAGATAGATAGATAGATAGATAGATAGATAGATAGATAGATAGATAGATAGAACTTGTCCAGGTTGGTACAAAATGTTCTTCATTGAGCCTTAGATGTTTTTAGTTGTCATTGTTGAATGAACTTTGAACAGAGCAGGCTAAATCAGACTGATCATTCTGACCAAGGCTCCAGGACAGGACAGAAGGTGCTGAAGATGAGTTGCTCCGCTGGGACACTGAGGATGTAGACCACATGTGGCGTTGCTCCACAGCTGTTTACCTGGTTGATATTTGAACACTGAGACCACACTGACACCTAGAGACGTAGAAAGGAACAGCAGCATAAGTCTCAGGCTGCACAGTAATCTGATCTTAATAAATTGACTAATAATAACCAATGAAAATACAGAAACTGTATCACTGAGGTGAAAAAGTACCACATGGTCTTTATTAAGTCAGCTTCTTATAGAATCCTCACTGTAGGAAACCATTAGATCATGATTAATATAATAAGACTTAATACACATCCTTTACATGTTTGATTTCTCTATTAAATGAAGTTTAGTTCTTTATTTAAATTTTGTATCAAAGGGTTTTATGATTTTTATGCCTGTAGACCTGCAGTGTTACTGGTGGGTTACAAATGTCAACAGATCAGTTAAAGGGAGGAAAACTCCATTAAATGACGAGTTACTGATTATCTTATTATGTGATTATTAGTTGAATGTAATTTGACATTTGTTAGAGATTCTCAGTTTTGTTAGTTTTCATTGATGGAAAAGACAAAAAAATATCTTTATAAACTCTAACTATAACAGTAAATAAATAAAGTAGTTCTAATGAGTTTGTTCTGAGCATTTATTTTAATCACTTATTTTATTGTATATATTTTCTTATTGTATTTCTATTTTGTTTATTGTTGTAAATTGTATTTTATTTTATTCTATTTTATTTTATTATTATTATTATTATTATTATTATTATTATTATTATTATTGTGGGTTTTCAACCCTTTTATTGATTTTTTCAAATAATTCTTAAGTAATTTTTAGTCCAGTTCTATCTTATTATTACTGTTATTATCTCTTCAATTATCAAATCTACTTTATTTCATTGTCAGATTTTTTTTTGTCTTATCAGTCATTTGTGAAATTAATGCACTGACCAGTATGAGAAGTGTCATTAAAATAAATTTTGATTGATTACTCAGCTTCTTTTGAATATTTTCTGAACGCTAAAAAAGTGATATTTAGTGTTAAAATGCAGATTTTTTATTTTAATTTTATTTTTAAGAAAATGTAATTTACAGGTCACAGCTCCTTCAGTTATATATGAATCTGCTTTACATTTAAGCAGAAAAAATAAAGCGCAACAGTGTTTGAGTCGGGGCAGAGCTCCTACAGCTGATATAAGCTTAGTGTGGTTGCTCTGTTTTCTGCAGCCGAGTGGAGGTTTGATTCATACCACAGGTGATTCCAGGCAGTTGGAGGTAAACCATGTCAGAAGTGTTGGGAACCATCAGCTGAGATCTGCAGTGCCGCTGTATGCTCAGAGCTCCGAGTTATTATTTGTGCTGAGGCCTGGCTGTTTATCCAAACTGCAGATAATTACACCATGGGCTTCTCCACAACATAAACAGCCTCCTTCCTGTCTGCAGTTATCTCTCTGCTTCCAACACACTGCTTTCAACACCAAGATCAAGGACTTCATCATCCGGTCCAGAAGAAACCCCAGAACAAAAACCTCAAACCTCCACGAGTTTTCTGGAGACAGAGGACACTGGTTTTAAAGGTTGGGGTTTGTCTCCTTCAGTTCAGAGGCTCTGATACTTTACATCATTATATTTTTATTTTTCCTCCTCTACACTTCAGAGGGTTCAGTCTTATTTTTCTTCCATCCCTCCTTCTGTCCTTCCTCCTTTCCTTTTTTCATTCCTTTCCGTTTTCACCTCTGTTTTGGGGTCCAAGTCTTAATCATAGGGGTCAGACCCTCCCAATCCCCCCTTATAATTTGAGCCCTGATCCTACCTCCTTTCCTACTTTCATTCAGTTTCCATTTTCCTTCCTTCTCTCCTTCCCTTTTCTCATTTCCCTAATTTAGTCACCTTCCTTCTCTCCTTTGTTTTTGTTTTCCCTTTTTTCCAATTACCTCTGTCATCCTTCCTTATAACTTCCTTTCCTTTCTTTTTTTCTTTTCCCTTTCTTCCCAATTTTTCTTTTCCATTTTCTCTTCCTTCTTTTCTTCCATTTGTCTTCTCTTTTCTTGTGTCCTCCTTCCTTTCCTTCTTTCAATCACTTTCAACTTTTCTTCTATCCTTCTTTCCTTCCCTTTTCTATTTCCTTTTAATATTTTTTCCTCTTCCTACTGCTCATTCTGATTTTTCGTTTACTTCCAGTTTTCCATCCCTGTTTCCTTTTTCCTTCTGTTCTTCTTTCTTTCCTTATATGCTTCCTCATAAGCTTTCCATTTTTCCTTTCTTCATTCCTTCCCTTTTTCTTTTCCCATTACTTCTTTCATTCCTTCTTTATTCACTTTCCATTTCCCTTCCCTTTTCTGTTCTCCTTCTCTCCTTCCTCTTTCCTAAATCTCTGTTTTTCCTTGTTCTTCTCCCACAGGACATATGAGGTTGTTTTTTTATCCAACATTAAAACTCTCCTCTGTTCCCCCGCAGGACTTTTACTTCATATATTTCACTGTTAATACTTCCTGTTTACTCGGTAGAGGGTCTGAGGACTCTGTTGAACCACCTCGTCCACTTCTCTCAGCCTAATTGGCCGCTGATGAGTGTGAGTGGGAACAGTATTGAGACTCGGCCTCCCCCAGATGTGGGACTGGGCGTCTGTGCGGTGAGTGAACCGCAGTGAAATCTGAGCCCGCTCCGGCCTGGCTCACTGTATTTTGGGATGTTTTACATGGGGCAGGACAAAGACACGTTACCAGGCGGGAGCCCAGAGTGAGCAGATGTTTCTGCTCTGGGAAGAGAAGAAGAAGAAGAAAGAGAAGAAGCAACATTGTTTCTGCAGAAGAAGGAAGCTCGAAGACGGTAGAGTTTACTTCAACTTGTGTTGTGGTCTGAGTTTAAGTGTGCGGAGCTGTGAGGAGAGTTAACGGACTAATGAGTGCAGGAGGCGACGGAGGTGACGGACAGCTGACTGGATGGACTCTGACTGAAAACCGAAACTGACGTTTTAAAGGACAAAGTGTGTGGAGGGTTTGAACGTTTGCTGACATGCAGTTTGACTGGGAGCTAAACTCTGCCTGTGTGTTATACCGGTGTGTTACTTTAGTATTGTTGTTTATCAGTGTCACCGGGTGTTGCCACTTTCAGTAAGTGACTAGCCAAAACAGGAGCCACGTGTGGCGGCTCATTAGTTCTATGTCTCCTCGGTGTGCTGGACTTTAACAGGCAGAGGAACCTCTGGGTGGACTGTTGCCATATCAATGCTTTCACATGAGTTAGTTACTCAGATGTCAGTTACAACCATCACTGTCACACAGACTCTGCCAGATTAACCGCAGCCCCACCTGACAGCGAATTACCCTCAGGTTACTATGATAAAAGCATCTCTACCTAGTTACCAACTAGCTAACCAACTTAGCCTGCTAATGAGATTTGGTTCCAGTGAAGGCTGGTAAGAAGTAATGTTACGAGCTGGCTAACAAACTAACAAACTAATGTTACAAGCTAGCTGACAAACTAAAAAGCTAATGTTATGAGCTAGCTAACAACTAATTTACAATTAATGTTACCAGCTAGCTACTAACTAACTAACTAACTAACTAACTAACTAACAAGTTAACGTTTCCAGCCAGTTACTGACTTAACACTTAACAAGTT